TAAGTCAGCCAACATATTTAAAGGAGGTAGAGGTAGACTTTGTGTCCGATCCTATGTCAGCTTTTATACTGACAGTCTTGTATTGAGGTCTCTATTTTTTCCTCAGTTCTTATCTAGTCACTGTTTGGAGACAATCAAGAAACAAATTATGCTTCCAGCAACATTCCATTTTCATGACTAACAAAGACATACGAATTAATATGGTACTAGTTAAAGAAGCGTCATTTGCTATTTTGAATTTTTTTATGTTATATTTTTTAACAGTACTCACTTCATTGAATGGTGGTGTTAAATCAAGGGTACAAAAGGGTGAATTTTTTATCTTGCGAAGGAATTTAGGTTCTTTCTCCATTAATTCATGTATTATAAATGTATTTTAAAATATTTTCCATACATTTTATGTAATATTTGATGTGTCATTAAACTGGAGTCAGTACAAACATTTCTGGTTAAATCAACACTGTTCCTAAGGACAATTGGAAGGGAAGCACTTCAACACAAGATAGACTCCTAATGAATTAAAAAGTATATGAGATGCATTCTATTGGCGAGAATTTTATTGAGGATTTTTGCATCTATGTTCATCAGGGATATTCGTCTGTAATTCTCTTTCAATACTGCATCTTTTTCCGGCTTAGGAATTAAGGTGATGCTGGCTTCATAGAAAGAATTTGGGAGGACTCCCTCTTTTTCGATTGTTCTGAATAGTTTGAGAAGAATTGGAGTCAGTTCTTCTTTAAATGTCTGGTAGAATTCAGCAGTGAATCCATCTGGTCCTGGGCTTTTCTTTGTTGGGAGGGCCTTTATTACTGTTTCAATTTCTGTCTCAGTTATGGGTCTGTTTAGGTTTTCAATGTCTTCCTGGTTCAATTTAGGTAGGTTGCATGTGTCCAGGAATGTATCCATTTCTGATAGGTTTCCCTGTTTGCTGGCATACAAGTCCTTGTAGTAATTTCTGATGATTCTTTTTATTTCTGTGGTGTCTATTGTTACATTTCCTTTTTCATCTCTGATTTTATTGATTTGGGTCTTTTCTCTTCTTTTTTTTTTGGTTGATTGGGCCAATGGGGTGTCAATTTTGTTCATTTTTTCAAAAAACCAGCTCCTCGTTTGGCTGATTTTTTGTAATGTTTTTTTGGATTCAATCCTGTTGATTTCTTCTCTGATTTTAATTATTTCTCTTCTCCTACTAGATTTGGGTCTGGTTTGCTGTAGATTTTCTAGATCCTTGAGGTGAATAGAAAGCTCATCTATTTGGTGCCTTTCCAATTTCTTGATGTAGGCACCTATTGATATAAACTTTCCTCTTAACACTGCTTTTGCTGCGTCCCGTAAGTTTTCGTATGTTGTGCTGTTATCCTCATTTACTTCCAGAAAATTTTTGATTTCTCTTTTAATTTCTTCTATGACCCATTGTTCATTCAGGAGCATGTTGTTCAATCTCCATGTGTTTGCGTATGCTCTAGGGATTCCTGAGTTGCTAATTTCCAACTTCATTCCTTTATGGTCTGAGAAGCTGCATGGTATGATTCTAATTCTTTTGAATTTGCTGAGACTTGCTTTATGGCCTAGTATGTGGTCAGTCCTAGAGAAGGTTCCATGTACTGCTGAGAAGAATGTAAAATCTTTAGCTGTAGGATTGAAAGTTCTGTATATATCTGTTAGATCCATTTGGGCTATAGTGTCGTTTAAATCTACTGTCTCCTTGTTGATCTTCTGTCCTGTTGATGTGTCTATTTCTGAGAGTGGAGTATTGAAGTCCCCCAGTACTATTGTATTGGGGTCTAAGTCTCCCTTTAAGTCCCTTAACAAATCTTTTAAATAAACCGGTGCCTTGTAATTAGGTGCATATACATTGATAATTGTTATATCTTCCTGTTGAATTGATCCCTTAATCATTATATAGTGTCCCTCTTTGTCTCTCTTAACAGTTTTTGTGGTAAAGTTTATGTTGTCCGATATTAAGATGGCTACGCCTGCTCTTTTTTCATTTCTGTTGGCATGGTATATCTTTTTCCAGCCTTTCACTTTCAGTCTGTATGCATCTTTGTTGGAAAGATGTGTTTCTTGTAAGCAGCAAATAGATGAGTTTTGTTCCTTAAGCCAATCAGCCAATCGGTGTCTTTTAACTGGACAGTTCAGGCCATTAATGTTCAATGTGACTAATGATAAGTGATAACTTTGCCCTGCCATTTGCCAAAGATAAGTTCTAATATATGCTTTGAATTCCCTGTGATCTTTTGCTGTGAGGTTTCCTTCCTTTACCTTCTTTCATATTGATGACCGTGTTTCTGTGTTTCTGTGTGCAACACATGTTTAACCATCTTTTGCAGGGCTGGACGAGTGGCAACAAATTCTTTCAATTTCTTTTTTTTTTTTAACTTTTATTTAATGAATATAAATTTCCAAAGTATGGCTTATGGATTACAATGGCTTCTCCCTCATAATGTCCCTCCCACCCGCAACCTTCCCCTCTCCCACTCCCTCTCCCCTTCCATTCACATCAAGATTCATTTTTGATTCTCTTAATATACAGAAGATCAGTTTAGTATACATTAAATTTCTGAGATGGCAGGAATGATACTCACTCTGCAGACTGTGTTATGACATCCAAATGGGATTTTTGAAATGATCCCTATTTGGAGTTTCTCACTCTTGGCAAACGAAACTACATTATTCAGAATCACACTAAGTAACATCACTGTTTTAACACTCTACATTGACAGCAAGTGAAAAATTAAAATGAATTCATACAAGGGCAGAATTGCCCATTTTTATTTGAAGCAAGTTGTATTATATAGTAATAGTATTGTAGAGGAAATTCCACCAGAGTATATGTTCATCAGATTTTAGGGTGAAATGAGCATGCAAAAGTCATCTATTTCTTATCATCCCATCAAGAGTCCTCAGACAGCTCCAAACCCAAACCTGCTTGGGTGAAGGAGACTGCCCTATTTAGAAAAATGCTCAGAAGTGCACATTCTGCAGCTTCATTCATTTATTTAGTTCATGTAGAGAGATGCCATTTAGGGTTTTATTCAAAAAAGATCACAGAAATAATGAATGTGGGATTTCTTAGTGAAACTTTATATAAATATTATTCAGATGTAGGGAGTTCATATGATAGCATGTGCCTGAGGAAAATACATCATGCTTTCTCCTTCCGTTCACTCTCCAGCAAAAGGAGTTGAAGAAAATTCAAAATTGGCGAAAACACTGGTTTATTTAGTTTTAATTTAATCAGTGACCCCTGTAATTCAGGGGAAAAATCTATATTGGCAGCATAAGAATCATTCTGCTGAGCGAGGCTCAGCCCTGGCCATTGCTGACATCTGGAAATGAAGCAACAGATGAAAGATCTCTGTCTATCTCTATTTCTGTAACTTTGACTTTCAAATAAATAAATAAATAAAATCCATAGGGGCCAGTGCTGTGGTCTAGAAGGTTAAATTCCACCTGCAGTGCCGGCATCCCATATGGGTGCTGGTTCAAGTCCTGGATATACCACTTCTGATCTAGCTCTCTGCTAATGGGCATGGGAAGGCAGCAGAACATGGTCGAAGTACATGGGCCCCTATACCCAAATGGGAAACCTGGAAGAACCTCCTGGCTTTGGCCTTGCCCAACCCCAGCCATGGTGGCAATTTGGCGAGTAAACCAGCTGGTTGAATATATCTCTCCATTAATAAATGTAGCCATTCTGTTTCTTACCTGTATACTTATAAGTAATTATGTTGTGTTTGGGAGTAATTTTTACTTGATTTTTGCTGTCTAGTAAGATAGTTGACATTGTCATCCTCAGGACTTGTATAATAATGAAATATTCACAATATGACCTTTTCTAAATAGTGTGTTGCTGTGAAGGCAATGTTTGAAATTCATTTGAACTGTGAATGAAAAAATTGTTTGGCTATGTTGTGGGCATTGGGTATAGCAGGGCATCTCTATCCCTTATCAGACAGCCTGAGTTCTAGTCTCAGCTCCACTTTCAATTCCAGCTTCCTGCTAATGGGCACTCTGAGAAGCAGCAAATGAAAGATCAAGTACTTGAGTCCCTGATTGAATTCCAGACTCTTGGCTTTGTCCTGGCTCCACCCTGGATCTGTTGGGACATTTGGGGAGCAAATCATCCAATGGAAGATTTGTCTCCGTCTTCCTGCCTTCCAAGTAATCATAAATAAAATTTTAAATGGAAAAATAACCTGAATAAAAATCCAGTCTTGTTTCTGTAGGATATCGTCCAAAAGGTTCACTGGAATGAGTTGGCAATAGACTGATTAATAGGCCAAAAGGTACATAATTTTGTTAGCATGCATAAAGGGGAATCACAGTGTGATTATTCAAATAATATGATAAACTTCAGATGCTTATATATCTTTCTTCACAAGGGAGGGGGAGATGGAGAATGTAACAGTTGATGGGTAATAAATGACTTTATGTGAATGAATGGGTGGACTAAGTGCTTAGAAAGTAGTTAGTAAATGATTCTCTTTGGAAATTGAATGGGAGGAGATGGATAGTAGCTCCTGATAAACTCTTGTCCAGCTGTGGTTACCTTGTTCAGTTTTATTCCTGCAGATATGAGTTTAGTTAATGAATACACCAAGAAGGTACCAAACATAATCGTTTTCTTCTTTGGCTGTCTGGTCTTGGGGTAGATAAGGGAATATCAGAGTAAAACTATGTCTGGCATCTGCTTCTCTGCAAAAACCTTTAATTTAAAATAATCAGCATACCAGTGTAACATATTTTGGGGGTGAATTTCTTGAGGCTCCTGTGGATGTAAAATTGCACTATGCCCTTAGAACAGTTGGTTCAAGTGCCACTTTTACTAATCTTCACTAAGTCAGCCACTAAGAGCTTAGTGGATTTTGGATTTCCTATCTGCTCGCTCTCCTGAGATTATAGTCAAATATGCTTAGACAAGAATTTCTTCCTAGCTTGGTAAAAGTGTGGAGAAATGTGGTGAAAGGCTGACTTTCTCTCTTTCTCTTGTTCAGTGTGCTGGAGAAGAGAAACGTGTTGGTACACGCACAGTGTTTGTTGGCAATCATCCAATTTCAGAAACCGAAGCTTACATTGCACAAAGATTTTGCGATAATAGAATAGTCTCATCTAAGGTAAGTTCTTTTTTTAACTCAGTAGATGTTCATTTACTAAGTCAAATAATGCATTTTTTATGCTTCTGAGGAATTTGGTATATGTAGAAAAATACATATGTATTTATACAGGTCATATAATAACTATGGCAATTATTCCCCTGAAAAGTAGTTTATTAAAAGCATCCAACAAAGGGGTGGGGTGGAGTGGCATTGTGGCATAATAGGTTAAGCTACCAACCTGCAATGCTAGCATCCCATATGGGTACCAGTTCATCTCCCAACTGCTGCACTTCTTATTGAGCTCCCTGGTAATGGCCTGGGAAAAACAGTGGAAGATGACCCAAATAGTTGGGTCCCTGTACCCCATGGGGGACCTAGATGAAGCTCCTGGATCCTGGCTCCAGTGTGACCCATCAGTAGCTGTTGCAGCCATCTGGGGAGTGAACCAGCAAATAGAAGATCACCCTCTCTTGCTACCTCCCTCCCTCTTTCTCCCCACTTCCTCTTAACTCTGCCTTTCAAATAAATACATAAATCTTAAAAAATTTAGAAAAACAGCCTCAGATTCTGCTTTGTTATAGCTTAAAGACCATTCACTTGCTTTCCATTTTAATTCACAGCACCTGTGGATTCTACATATTAATTTTTTTAAGCCTGATGTTTGCTCAACCTAGGCATTATTTACCTGTGCAGAGCTTCTTAAGTTTCCCTTGGATGGTTGGGCTAGAATGTAAATGATTTGCATTCTCTTGGAGGGAGCTGTCTGGGTATGATTTTCATTTGCGTCTTTCAGTTACCTATCTGGCCCTATTTCTCAAGTACATTCCTGGATTCTGAAGTGTACATTCTGCTCTGTAAGTTTCTTGGCCTGTGAACTGTTCTTAAGACATCAGTCATTGTAACTGAATAATCATCTTACTTCACTGTAATATAGTGCTAAGAGCAGTGGCTTGGAAGTCTGAACACCTGCCTTTAAATCCTGGCTTGACCATTTACTCACTGCATCACCTTGGGCAAATAAATAATTCTGAGTCTGAATGTTTTCATAGGTGAAATGGGGCTAATACTCCATATGTAAAAACACTTTTTATAGCTCCTGTACCCTGTAGTTATCATTCTTCACAAATTAATTTGCTAATTTTTGCCCTTCACTGACCAGGCTGAGTGCAGCATGCTAGATGGCTGGCCCAGTGTCATCTCTTGTAGCATGGATCTTGATCATTTTCCTTACCTTCTCCTGCAGCCTAATGAGGCAGAGCTAAAATGTTGGTGACATTTCTTTCACTGCATGCTTGCAATTACTTTGGACCTAAAATACAAAATCACAATGAAGGGGTTTTTTTTTTGTATGGAGTAATTTTTAAAAATAGTAACCCATGATACAAATAAAATTCGGTTTTAAACAGATATAGATTATAGATACAAATATATAAAACTAGGATAAAGAAGTTTACATTTGTGGATAGCACTTTGGGCGTAGCAGGTAAAGCTTCCACCTACAGTGCCAGCGTTGCATATGGGCTCTGGCTCAAGTCCCAGCTGCTCCACTTCTGATCCACCTCCCTGCTAATGTGCCTGGGAAAGCAGAGAAAGATCACGCAAGTCCTTGAGCCCCTGTACCCATGTGAGAGAACCAGAAGAAACTCCAGGCTCCTGGCTTTGGATCGGCTTAGCTGTGGGTGTTGCAGTCATTTGGGGAGTGAACTTGAATGGAAGATAACATGCTCGCTCTTGATGTCTCTTTCTCTCTCTCTCTCTCTCTCTGTCTCTTTGCTTTTGCTTCTCTGTAACTCTGCCCTTCAAATAAATAAATTAAAGAAGTTTACATTGCTTTTTAATGATTTATTTATTTATTTTGGAAGTCAGAGATGGAGAGGTCTTCCTTCGTGTGATTCACTCCTCAGATGACCACAACACCCAGTGCTGGGCCAGGTCGAAGCCAGGAGCTTCATCCGGGTCTCCCACATGGGTGGCAGGCGCCCAAGCACTTTGGCCATCTTTTGCTGCTTTTCCCCATGCCATTAGCAGGTACCCAGATCAGAAGCAAAGCAGCCATGAGATGAACCAGCACCCGTAAACTAATACATTTTTATTTATTCCTCTATTATGTGTGTACCATTTCTTTTAATTAGCTGCCATTTAGTGGATTTGCTTTTTCATAAAAGCCATAGAGCAGGAAAAAAGGGGAATTGACAGTATAATAACTTAAGAAACAAAATGCTCAAGGGGCCGGGACTGTGGCTCACTTGGTTATTGCTCCACTTGCAGCGCCAGCATCCCATATGGGCGCCGGATTCTAGTCCTGGTTGCTCCTCTTCCAGTCCAGCTCTCTGCTGTGGCGTGGGAGGGCAGTGGAGGATGGCCCAAGTGCTTGGGCCCCTGCACTGCGTGGGAGACCAGGAAGAAGCACCAGACTTCAGATCGGCATAGCACTGGCTGTGGCAGCCATTTGGGGAGTGAACCAACGGAAGGAAGGCCTTTCTGTCTCTCTCTCTCTCACTGTCTGTAACTCTACTTGTTAAATTAAAAAAATAAAACAAAATCTCAGTACTGGGGCCGGCGCCGTGGCTCACTTGGTTAATCCTCCGCCTGTGGTGCCGGCATCCCATATTATGGGCACCAGGTTCTAGTCCGGGAGTAGGAGGTGGAACGGGAGTTGGGGTGGGAGGTCAGGTTTGGGGGGAAGAACTGCTATATTCCTAAAGCTGTACCTGTGAAATCCCTAGTCATTAAATAAATGCTTTCTTAAAAAAAAAAAAAAAAAACAACAACATGCCATGCAGTGCTCCTGTTCTACTCCTACCATTATCAGAGTCAGTATCACGAAGAGAAACCATCTTCTTAAAGAGAAATGACAGGAGAATGTAGCAGCCCATGTCACTGGTGATAGTACCTGAGGGAGAACCTTGCGGACCACCTGAACTTTGAGTCCAGCCTGGAATGCCAATAGAAAGCCACGTGCCCCACTAACCCCATGAAATGAGAGCACACTACCTGCTTCCCATCCCCTCCCCCCAGCTCCACAAGGGCTTCTGGAGAGTAGCAGGGAGGAAGTGCCATCTTAACAAAGTGAGTACAGGCTGCCTCAGCTGATGTCCATGTACTAGAATAGAAGGGAGGAAATGCCATCTTAACAAGACAAGTACAGTCAGTATAGTCTGCCACGGCTCATGTATGTGTGACTAGGGGATTTTATCTGAGGGATAAATCTGTAGTTCCCATTGATTCTGAGCCTGACCAGGAGTTTTGCAGTGGGCAGTGCCCCCACTTAAGCCTGTGAGGCTCTTTCCTCTCCTCTATATTACTGGTGCCTGTACTCAAACTGCCAAGGAAGAACACTAACAGGAAGCTGTATTTGGAAACGCCTCAGCTATCTCTGTGGACAGAACAGCCTCACAGGGCTGAGAGTGGATCTCCTGTTCCCTGTGATATGGGATTCATATAAACTAGGACTGTGAGAATTTTGTGACTGAATGATAGAGCATGGAGTGTATCTGGGGCTTTGGGCAATGAGAGTGCCTTGCTTCAGAGGCTTCAGAGTGCCTGGGGTGGGTCATTGCAGAGGGTTCTGTGCTCACACTGAGGACTGCACAGATTCTTTGTGCAGTTCAGGTGAATGTATGTATGGGGTGTGTAGCCAATGTGGGCTCATCCTGGGCATAGATCACCTTGGAATAGAGGAGATGAAGCAGTGATCACACCAGCTAATGCCATCATACCCTCCCTCCTGCTGACAGTAGAGGAGATCTACCACACCCAATGTGGGTGTCAACTTGGACTCTTGAACTACCCTGAGCACTGACCAGAGCTCCCTGGCCCCACCCCGCACATGCCTCTGAATATCTAGTGAAGGAGCAGACACACCACTAAGCCACAGAGGCATATTTCAAAGATAACAGCCACCAGAGGAGAAAAGCACAAAGTGGTTCCACAAATGGCTAAAAATAAATGCAAAAACATGAGAAATGTGAACAAGGAAGACAGTATGACTCCCTCAAAGGAGCAAAACAACACTTCTGTTTAGAATGTGAGGACAAAGAGATTGATAAAATGCCTGAAAAGGAATGCCAAGAATCATCATAAGATTATGCAAAAACAATGAGAAGGAAATTTATAAGTTAAATCCATAAATCACATGGATGTAAAATTATCCCATGAGATAAAGGTATTGAAGAGAAATCAAACTGAAATATTAGAAATGAAGAATTCAGTATGTCAAATATAATAGAAAGCCCCAACAACAGACTTTGATGCACAGGTAAGAATATCGAAGCTAGAAGACAAATATTTGGAAATAGCTCAGTCATACAAAAAAAGGAAGAAGAAAACTGGAAAATTGTGTTCGAGATTTATGGGATACTGTCAAATGACCTACATGTCTTAGGAGTTCCTGAAGGCGTGGAAAGAGAGAATGGATTAAAAGCCCTATTCAGTGAAATAATAGCAAAAAATTTCCCTAATTTGGAGAGACATCCAAGTACATGAAGCACATGGAACTTCTAATGGAGATTATCAGAAAAGATCTTCAACATTTCATGTTATAGTCAAACTTTTAAAAGTAAAAATGAAGATTCTAAATTGTGCACAACAGAAATGTCAGATTACCTTCAACGGATCTCTAACTCAAATGACAGCTGATTTCTCATCAGATCCTACAGGCTATTAGAAAACCTCAACCCAGAACACTGTAACCAGTAAAGCTCCATTTGTGAATGAAAGTGAAATGAAGAACTTCTAAAACCAACAAATGAAAAGAATTTTTCACCACTCATCCAGCCTTACAAATGATGCTTATGAATGTGCTATACATAGAAACACAAAAAGACAGTCATCATTATGAAATAATGCAAAGGCAAAAAATCCCCTAGTAAAGATACAAAGGAGGGGCTTGCACTGTGGTATAGTAGATAAAACTGCCACCTGCAATGCTAGCATCCCATATGGCCTCTGGTTCAAGTCCTGGCCATTCCACTTCCAGTCCAGCTTGGTGCTAATGTGCCTGGGGAAGCAGCGGAGGA